GATATTCGGAAGAGCACTCTACACAATCTACATCGCCCAGTATAACAAGCCGGTGGATGACCAATTGACCATAGCACTATGAAAGGGGAGATTGGTAAAAAACCGGCACAAATTAAAAATAGAAAATAGAAAAACGGCAAAGATTAATTGAGATAATAAAAATAGAAAAACGGCACAAATAATTCCAAGTTTAATTGTAGAAAAAAAAACCGGCAATTAATCGGCACAAATTAGTCGCTTTTAGGAGTTGATAACTAAAAAAATAAGAAAAAAAATCACGGCGCCACTTCTCAACATCTTCCTTCCTCTTGCAGATACATGTTCTGCTCCATCTCCACCATATCGTATCTAAATAAAAATAAAAATAATAATAATGTAATAAATTAGAAAAGTAAAATTAAAATTGTTTTTTTACTTACTGTGGTGGCTTCTCTTCCTCTTGCAGCTACTCCATCACCACCGTATCCTACCTAAATTAAAACATCATCGACCATCGTCCGATAATCACCCGCGCAAATGGGTGGACGACTCCCCAGAGATCTCTTCTCACGTGTCTGCTCTGCTCGAACCTCGTCACTCCAGCGATGGTTCGAGCATCCATATTCGTAATCAACGGTATTAGTAATGTGAGAAAACATGCATAAACTTATATTGTTCACATTGAAGATAATGTTGTCGTTGTTGGGCTGCATATGCATGTAGTGGTGAAAACTTGAAACAAATTAGGTTTTCCTGAAATGGTATAAAAAAAAATTGATTCTTAAAGTTGTGTTGAGTACACCAAATTATGGAAGAGTGGTCACGTGACTCCTCTACTTTTATACTTTAAAATGACATTGGTTATTTGGAATTGGAGATCCTTTAATGACATTGTTATGTTCTGATATTTATGATTGTTAATTAATTTGGGCTGTTTCGATAATGTAATTTGCAGTTTGCTTAAGGAAATGGGATTCATGTATTGAGTAAGTATTTTGTTTAATTTGATTTTGCTTTTGCATGTTAGTTCTAATTTATTTACAAAAATAAATATTTGATCTTGAATTCTAATTAAAACACTTGAATTATTTTTTATTTGTTTTTTGAAGTTTATGGTTTATGAATGTTGTTAATATATATAGTATTAGAAAATAAAATAAATCATTCAATCATGATCCATCCTTGCAGAAAACAGAAAAAACAGACTTGTGTTTGAGGTAATTTGCAATGGAGCATTCATACGAGGCAAACGAGGCAGCTAAAAATGCAGAAATATCGACGAATAATCGTTATATTTCTACCACTACTAGTAACGGGAATTCAACCGTAACCACTTTAAAGATTGTAAATGATTTTGACTTGAACAAATTCGGAGATGAAGATTTTGTGTACGACGAAAATAATAATGATAAACACCCGTCGTTATCAAATTCTAGTTGTCGGTATAAAACTCTCCATTCTTCTAGTTTCTCCAAGTTTTTCCTCGCACAACATACGTAGTAAACGACAGATAGTGTCGGTTCCAAAACTCCCGAATTTTCCGATTTTGGAATTAATTTAAGAGAGTGGCTACAATCCGACGGTCATGGTGCATTAATCAAGAACGACAGACTGCGTTTGTTCCGGCAAA